GCCAGGCAGCCGGGATCCAACACACACTGCAGAGGCTGCGGACAGCTTCACAGTGCGGCACTCAACTGCCTGCACCACCAGGGAGGCCCCACCCCTATTAGCTTCTTCGGGAGCTCTGAGAAGCCTTCTGAAGCAATGGCGGTGAGTAGGGTTGCCTTTAAATATGCGCTGGAGAGAGGCGTGAGGGAGGACCCACCAGCCCTGGGCCTGCTGACTCCACTCAGCCAGTCGAGGGTCTCTCTGCATTACTCAGCTATACTTTGTCACCTCAAACCCCCCCTGCGCTCACCACCACCACCTCACCCCTGCGCACACCCACACACCTCACATACCCACACACCTCATGGTAGTTTTAAAACACGGCCACAGTTCTTTCATAGTCCCTATGTGGGGGCCTGGGGAGCTATGTACCCTCCCCTTCAGCCTGGCCAGGCGGTGACTGCTCGACCAGTGAGAGTTGGTCACAGACAATGCCATGGGACTTCTGGACCGAAGTCATAAAGGCCGTGCCCCTCTGCCTCGCTTGAGCAAGCAGTCGTCCAGGGAGTGGAGGATCCATCCTCTCGAGGCCACCTGGAGAAGCCCTGCATGGTCCCGGTCAGCGGGCCCAGCTGGCCTTTGAGTCAGTTCAGTCAGACATGGAGTGAAGAAGCTTCCAGAGGCACCGGTGCCTGGCTATGCGAGCTGCTGCCCGCCCTTCACACTCTTCCACCGAGACCACAGGCAGCTCCCGAGAGCCGGCCCACACCACCCTGGCCACGGCGCCAGCTGTCCACACTGCCACGTGCAGGTGCTTCGCATGCAGGCATCTGAGCCGCCCCTGCCCAGATCATTCAGCTGGCGTGGACTCCGGGCGGCGGCCCGTGGGCCCATCTGAGTCTAAGCAGGTGCCGTGAACACGTGGCGTGGCCGGCCGCCTGCGCAAAGGCGCCTCTAAGGCCACGGCCCCTCAGCTCAGAGTGTAAGCCTGGGAGCTCCCAGGTGGCGCTGCCGTAGCGACCCACCTGTGCTCCTGGGACAGGAGCTGCCTGCTGAAGCCCACCTGCTGTCGCCCAACTCGCCATCCACTGCCAACTGCCCCTCCGCCTGCCCGCCGCCTTTTCTTCTCTCCTTGAGGGGAAGCGCCGCGCAGTAGCTCTTGGCTGTGGGCTCTGGAGCCCGCAAGCTAATGTGCCTTACGGCCTGTCTCCACCCTGGGCTCTGAGTGGGAGGCTTAGCTGGCCCTGAGGGGCTGTACCCCAGGAGCCAGCCTGAGAGTTCCAAATAGCAGCCGCTCAGCAGCTAAAAGTGAGCAGCCCCTCCAAGCCCACACCCCCTCTCGGGGCCAGCGAGTAGCACACCTTTTCTGTGGAGACGGGCTCCCGGGGAGACGCAGAGGCAAATTTCCGAATGAGCCTCAGCCTGTCTGCCCACTGCCCTTGGCCTCCCCGGCCCCGGGCCCCCCCTGAGCCCTGGGTGAGGGCCCTCCGGTCCACGCAGCCCTCACTGGCCCATCAGGCTGGACCAAGGCCTTCTGGCTGCAAGTCAGGCTCTTCCACCCCTCAGAGGGGACAGTGTGCACCTGGGGAGCAGGGGGACTTTTGTAGGAACCCCAAATTCTGAACCTGGGTTTCTGTCCCCCTGTGTTTTGTTCCTTTTGGAGTGAGAGGGTTCCCTTACCTTCCTGTCCCACATTTGGGGCTGTGCAGCCTGAAGGCCCTGCTCCTTCCCCTGGTGCCCTCTAGAAGGCCCCTCAAGCTGAGATGCGGTGAAACTCTGTCCACTGGCGTCGGGAGTCCTGCCAGCTTCCAGGCCGCGCAGGGGAGCCCACGGGAAAGTCACAGATCCCAGCTGGGAGGCCCCATCCTCTCAGATTGTTCTGCACTGGGAACCTGGAGGAATTCCTGAATGACTAGGCAGAGCCGCGTGGGTGGCAAGAGGAACTCTGGCTGGGGGTGTGGGGGCCAGTCCCTGGGGGAGGGTCTGGCGGGGAGCCTCTGCCCTGAGGCCAGGAGTTCCCCAGGGCTTGTCACTGCGCCTTCACTTCAACCCCTCCAGACAGGACAGGAGAACTCTGCTGGGACAGAGGTCAGAGGGAAGTGCTGCCCTGTCTGCTCCCGGGCCTGGGGAGGGATGGGGGCGCCCACGCGCCCCGTGAGCACAGGGAGAGTGCCGGCTTCCCGCCCAGCCAGCGGGGCGGGCACGGTTAAGCCCTGGCTTTCGCAGAGGGCAGAGCAGCCGCCTGACCCCAGCGGGTGGGCGGGTGAGTACTTGCACCCCAGGCCCCCGCCAGCCCCGCACAGCGGCTGTCCAGGGCCCGCGCCGGGTGCTCCGTCCACCCGCAGCTCCAAGCCAGGACGAGGCTGCAGGGTCCAGCCGGGCCAGGAAGGGCCCCACTCCGGGCCCCGCGCCCCGCGCGCCCCGCCGCCACGAGGTCTGTGCCAGCCAGAGAGCTGCTGGGGGGCCGCCCTGCAGGCCTGGTCCTGCGCCCTCCGTGGCCTCACCCTGCACAGTAACTACCGTCGTGGAATAAGGGGCGCCGCCCCCACGAACCTCTCTCCGCAGCCCGGGCTTACCCGGTGGGAGGTGGAGACCCTGAGGTCGCGGGTCAGGGGCGCGCGCCGTCCCGCCGGGGCCGCGGCAGCCACTTCCCGCGCTGCGCCTGGTTCGGGCCGCCACGGAGCCGAGCGCGCCGGGCGGGAGGGGGCGGGAGGGGGCGGGGGGGGGCAAGAGAAGGGGGAGGCGTGGGGGGAGAAGGGGCAGGACAGAGGGGCTGAGGGGAAGGGGAAAGGAAGACAAGGGCGCCCGCGAAGCCCCGTGCAGGGCGCGGACTCTCCCCGCGGGCCAGGCCCGGGACCGGGCGGCGCTCGGGCTTCCAGACCCCTCGGTTCGGCGGCCGCGACCGCGTGCGGGGGAGCCGCGGAGGCCCCGGGGCGTCGGCGGGCGCTGGTGCGGGGCGGCGGGGAGCGCCCGCCCGGCCGCCAGCGCCCCCCCCCCCCCCCCCCCGGCCCCAGCCCCCGCCCCCCGGGCCTGAGCTCAGAGGCCGAGGCGCGCTTTGCAGCCGCGCGGGTGCGGATTCACGGATTCACCGCAGCGGGAAGAGCCGTCCCGGCCGGGCCAGCCGCCCCGGGAGCGCGGGATGGAGCAGCCGGAGCGGCGGCCCCGACGCCCCCGACGCCCCTGCCCTGCGGCCCCGCCCCCACTGTTTCCTCCGGTTTCCCCGAGTACGAGCCCCGCCGACCGCTCCGCGCCCCCGGGTCCGAGCAGCCTTCGCCCGGCGGGGCCGCCCCAGCGCGCCGTGCGCGCCAGCCCGGGGCCGGGCGGCGGGGGGCTCGGGGCGGCGGGGGAGCGCGTCCCTGGCAGCCTCCGCCCGGGGGGCCCCTCCCCCCACGGCGAGTGGAGAAGGTCGGGGTCGGATTCCTCCTCCGGGTCCTCCTGCTCCCCGCGGCCCCGGGACGCACCGACCTGGCGGGTTTCCGCAGGAACGCGGGGCCCGGGGTCAGCGCGGGGGGCCGCGGCTCCGGGGTGGGGCGGTGCGCGGACACGCGGCACCTTCTCTCCGCTCGCCACCCCCGGGGCCGCCGCGCGCGGGCAGCGCCCTGGTCGCTCCGCCCCGGCTCCGGGATGCGCCCCCGCGGCCGGGGTGGGGGTGCACCTGCCCGTCCCGGCGCCGCGCCGCGCGCCCCGCGCCCCGCGCCCCCGCAGCGGAGGAGCGCTGCTGCCCGCCGGGGCGGCCCGACCCTGGTGGGAAGGGAAGCCGATCTCGGGCGGCCGTTTCCCGGGGCTCGCGGGGCTGCAGCTGAGCTCGGGGCGGCGGGGACTCTGCCTCTCCCCGTCCGCGCGGCGCGCGCGTTGGGCAGCGGAATCGGGCTCAGAACTTAGGGCCCCGCTGCCTGGGGTGCCGCTGGCCGCGCCGGCCTGCTGGGAACGTCCACACGCCCGTCGCGGGTCTTCACAACGGCCCGTGGTGTCTGTTCCGTGACAGCCGCCCCGCGGACAGCAGGGCCCGGGAGAGCCCGGCGCCCAGGGTCCCGCGGTCAGTGACCCCGGCGCGGAGACCCCCGCGGCGCCAGGCCCAGCGACCCCCCCCCCCGCCGCCTCCCGAGGGTCGCCCGGCGGAGCCCGCGGGGGTGGCGCTCGGGGAGCGCGGGAGAGCTGGTCCGGGAGCCTCGGGCCTGCGCCGGGGGAGTGGCGAGGCCGTCCCTGCTCACCTGAGCTGGCAGCGGGACGGCGCTGAGCCTGGGCAGCCGCGCGCGCGTCGCCCCGACAGGGGGTGCCGGCCTCCGAGGGGCGCGGAAGGCCGGGGCCGACCAGTCGGGCCCCGCGGGTTGAGCGCAGGCCCAGAGCCTGCACCCCGCTCGCCTGGGGAGTCGGGGTGAGGCGGGCCCGGGAGGCTCGGGTCCTGCCAAAGCCCCGGGGAGCGGGAGCAGAGCCGGGAGAGGCCGCACCCCAAGGCTCAGCAGCCCTGATCCGAGGAGGAGCGAGGAAGAAGCAGCGAATGAGAAGGAAATTCACTGGGGAAGAGCCGCACCCCGAGACCAGGGGGGCCAGAGGAGAACTCAGAGACAGTGAGGAAGGGCGAGCGAGCGCGGCAGACCCCTCGGCGGGCAGGGGGCGCGGGCCGTCGAGGGGGCCCGGGGCGCCGCTGCGGGCGCCCCCTCTTCGGAACGGGCCGGGCGGCCGGCGGGGCTGGCCAGGGGCTCCGGGTCGGGTGTCCCGCGCCCGGGCGTTCCGGGGAGACCTGTCCGGCGTCTGCTGGGCCCCGCGCGGGGGTGGCCGGGGCCGGGGCCGGGGACGCGGCGGGGCGCGCGGAGGCCGGGCGGGCGGCGCAGGGGCGGGCCGGGGCGCGCGCCTCCCTCCCCGCCCCTCCCTCCCCCTCCCCCCCTCCCCGCCCGGCGGGTCGGAGCGGGGCCGCGGCCGGGGCGCGGAGGGGCGGGGAGGGGCCGCGCCGCCGTCGGGAGTCCTGGGCGGACGCGCCGCCCGGAGCTGATAAATAAGGGGCCGGCGGCGGCGGGCGGCCAAGTCGGACGCCGGGACCCGCGCGAGGCCAGGTCAGGCCGGCGCGGGCGGCGAGGCGAGCGACCCGGGCGGCCATGGCCTCGCTGCTGGGCGCGTACCCCTGGCCCGAGGCGCTCGAGTGCGCGGGGCTGGAGGCCGAGCTGTCGGACGGGCTGTCCCCGCCGGCCGCCCCCCGCCCGCCGGCCGACAAGGGCGCGGAGAGCCGCATCCGGCGGCCCATGAACGCCTTCATGGTGTGGGCCAAGGACGAGAGGAAGCGCCTGGCGGTGCAGAACCCGGACCTGCACAACGCCGAGCTCAGCAAGATGCTGGGTGAGTGGCCGGCGGCGGGCGGCGCGGGCGGGGGGCGCGGCGCGGGGCCCGGGGCGGCCGTCCTGCCCGCGCGCGTCGGCGTCGGGGCGGCGCGGAGGCGCGCGCGGCCCGGGGTGCAGAGCGGGGCCCCCCCGCCCCTCCGCGAGCCCCGCGGCCGGCGGGCGCGGCCGGGAGGCCCCGGCGGGGCCAGGGCGAGCCGGGTCGGGCGCGCGAGGCCCCGGGGACCACGGCCGGGCGCCGGACCGAGCGGCCGCAGCCTGGTGGACGCGCCCGCCGAGGTCGGGGAGAAACCCCAGCGGGGAGACCCGCGCGCCCCGGAGCGCTCCCCGGCGGGCCTCGGGGCGCCGTGGCTGGGCCTGACGAATTTTCGCCGAGACCGCGCGGGGAGGCCTCCTGGCGGCCGCTCAGCTGTGGAGCCGACAGCGGCCCGGTCCACGCCGCAGACCCCACTCCGCGCCGGCCTCGCGGCCTCTGGGGCGTGGAGGGGCGGCGCAGGGGCCTGGGAAGGTCTGTCCGGGCCGGGCTCCCTCCCTGCTCCCTGCGCTGTCCCCGCAGCAGGGGCTCGCGGAGGGTGCGGGCCGGCCAGCCCCCGCGCCCCAGAAGGCTGTGAGGGCGCCCCTGAGAGTTTGGGCCGCGGTTCTTCTCTCTCCCGTCCGGCGCTTTGCAGCTCTGCCCGGCCCGACCCTTCGCCCGGCACTGGAGTTGCTCATTTTAGCCCCAAACCCTTTGAGGCCACTTTGCACGCGCAGCAGGCCCCGCGGTGAGAAGGGAGGGAGTGCGGCAGCGCCTGGCCTTGCCCTCCAGCCCCTTGGAACCTTTTTCCTCTTTCCGCTGGGCCGCGCTCTGGGCTTCTTCCAGGTCGGAACCAGTCAGGGCCGCTGCCGTTCTGCGGGCTCGCCGGGCTCCCAGGGGTCCCTCCCCGCAGCCACCCTCCTCCGGGGTGGTGCCTCCTGCCAGCCAGGCCGGCTCTAGAGCCCCCTCCTCTGCGAAAAATGCAAACATTCTGTTTTCTGTGTGTTGGGGCCCAGATATATTAACGCACAATAATCAAACACTTTCGTTCACCTAAAATTTCCTATTTTTCCAGATTTGAAAAGAAGTGACGTTTGTTTTGTGAGCCCCTGAAAGTTTTCGTGGTGGGTCCTGGGCACTGGCACAGCTTTTGTGCCCAGAATGGAGCTGGTTTCTGCAACAGGCCCACGCCAGACAAGGGGGGACAAAGCAGGCCCGGGAGCCTTGCCTTTGCAGTGAGGGTCCCCGGAAAGGGCAGGCAGAGGGAAGGGAGCCCCCCCCCCCAGCTGGGGCCGGCTTGCTGTGGACTCGGGCAGTTACCTGCCTTTGGCAGGAAAGCCTCCGCTTTGTTCCTGCCCAGCCGCGGGACCTGGGCGCCGGGCACGGGAACCCACAGCGTTGCTTCCTAAACTCTGGGCTTTCTACCCGGTGGACAGGGGAGCTGCGAGGAAGTGCTGGACACCGGACCCCACTTTCTCGACTATGTAACTTTCCAATCTTAAGCATTAAAAACTTCACCCGGTAGCAGCGGTTGTTTTAGGTTATGAAGGAGAAAGTGCATAAAGGCCGCTGTGAGTCCAGTGGCTCCGAAAAACGAACCCCAACCCCCAGGCTCACGGGGGCCCCAGAGACCCGTTTGACTTCCAGTTCACCGGCAGGGTGTGGGGTGTGTCTGGATCTTGGGCCAGCCAGAGACCACTCTGAGGCCTCGGCCACAGCCTGGGCCGCTCACCCTAACCCCAAAGCCGGAATTCTTAGCGCCGCTTGCCAAGCCCCCAGCAAGTGACAGCGACACAGGCTGGGAACAGTTGGGGTGGCTAGAAACCTTCCACCAGGACATGACCTGCAACAATCTCCTTCTTCCTGCTCCCCTTGCCGCAGCCAGCTTGGGCACTGAGGGACACCCCCACTCTTAGCTCTGTGTGGGGCCCTGTGCAGGGGGCTCCAGGGGAAGCTAGCCCCCCCAAGGGCTTAGTGAGGGGTACTTACGCCCTGGGCTAAAATCTCTCTCAGACTTCAGGACACCTGAGTCCTGGGGGACATGTAGGATCTCCAGCCACCCTCAGAGGTAACAATCCAGGGTCTAGAAGAGCCCAGAAGCACCTTCAGAAACCGGCAGCCAGCTGAGGGAGGGCAGGCCCTTTGAGCCATGAAAGAGAAACACTAAATGATTGCTAAGTCAGTGTCCAGGCCGCTAAGGGACAGAAAATACAATGAGACCAGCAGTTGAGCCCCGGTGGGGTGTGCGGGTGCCTCTCTGAGAACTTGTTGAGGTGGGTGGGTGGCATCACAGCACCTTTGTTGTGTGGTGAGAAAAACAGTCCTGGGAAGTTGAGGGGTTTGCTTTTGTATAGAACCTGTGACTGCGCCTGTGTCCAGGGCCACAGAAATACATTGTGTGTGTGTGTGTGTGTGTGTGTGTGTGTGTGTGTGTGTGTCCCCGCGGGGCTTGCATTGAGCAGCTCCCTGGCAGATGCCACCTTCTGGTCTTCATACATCAGGGTCCAAGCTGACCGTCCGGTGACAAGGGTAATGGTGGGTCACCCTCAGCGAGCCCTAGCATCTGCATGTGGGTGTGAAACCATTGCCGGGGCCTGAGCGCCCTCCCCAGAGGGCCTGGGAGCTTGAGGCTGCACCTAAATGCTGTGGGGTCACTTCCTGACACCTACAGAGGCACGCAGGAGTGGACGAGCCCCTCCAAGGAAAAGGGATCCCCAGTGACTCCTGTGGTCCTTAAAGACTTGTCCCGTCCTGGCACCGGGTCAGCCGGGCCTTTCGCTGTGAAGCCCCGTTGTTCGAGGCTTGTGGGCTCAGGTGGCGGGACTGGGCGGTTTTGCAGGATGGCTTCACTGTGCGCTCAGGGTCTGGGCTTCCGACGGTGCCAGGCGGAGTAGGTGGCCTGGGAGTAGGGGGCGCCCGCTTGTGAGCCGTGCCCACGTGAGCATGTTTGCACACGCGCGCACAGCTGGCTGGGAGGTCGCGCCGGAGAAGCGCTGCGCCGCCGCTCAGATGCTAACAGTGACCCTTGTCCGCCTTTGCGAGCAGGAAAGTCATGGAAGGCGCTGACGCTGTCCCAGAAGAGGCCCTACGTGGACGAGGCGGAGCGGCTGCGCCTGCAGCACATGCAGGACTACCCCAACTACAAGTACCGCCCGCGCAGGAAGAAGCAGGCCAAGCGCCTCTGCAAGCGCGTGGATCCCGGCTTCCTCCTGAGCTCCCTCTCCCGAGAACAGAACGCCCTGCCCGACAAGCGCGGCTGCGGCCGGGGGGCGCTGGGGGACAAGGAGGACGGGGGTGAGTACTCCCCGGCGGCCACCCTGCCCAGCCTCCGCGGCTGCTTCCACGAGGGCCCGGCTGGCGGCAGCAGCGGCGCGGCGGGCAGCGCGGACACCTACCCCTACGGGCTGCCGACGCCCCCGGAGATGTCGCCCCTGGACGTGCTGGAGCCGGAGCAGACCTTCTTCTCCGCCCCCTGCCAGGAGGACCATGCGCACTCCCGCCGCATCCCCCACTTGCCCGGGCCCCCCTACTCACCCGAGTACGCCCCCAGCTCGCTCCACTGCGGCCACCCCCTGGGCTCCCTGGGGCTCGGCCAGTCCTCGAGCGTCTCGATGATGTCCTCAATACCCGGCTGTCCCCCGTCTCCTGCCTATTACTCCCCTGCCACCTACCACTCTCTCCACTCCAACCTGCACGCCCACCTGGGCCAGCTCTCCCCGCCGCCCGAGCACCCGGGCTTCGACGCCCTGGATCAGCTGAGCCAGGTGGAACTCCTGGGGGACATGGATCGCAATGAGTTCGACCAGTATTTGAACACTCCTGGCCACCCGGACTCTGTGGCAGGGGCCGCGGCCCTCAGTGGGTCTGCCCCGATCTCCCAGGTGACTGCCACGGAGACCAGCCTCATCTCCGTGCTGGCGGACGCCACGGCCACGTACTACAACAGCTACAGCGTGTCATAGAGCACAGGCCGCCTGCCTGCCTGCGCCCGGAGTGCCCGGGGGCGTGGCGACTCTCCGCGGGGCCACCAGCTTTAGGGCCTGGTCCGCAGGTCTGCACCGCAGGGGACCAGCCAGGCGGATCGGATTGTAGGCCCCTCCCCTGCCGACTGGTGTCCCAGCCATTCCTCTGACGCCTCAGGGGCCACCCAGCGGCAAAGAGGCAAGAGAGTTGCTGGAAGTTGCTGCTTCCTGGTCACATTCACCAGCCGCCCTTCTCTGCCCCTTCAAGGAAGCAATTGGCTGGAAAGCTGCAGCCACCACACCTGGCCTGCTCTGCAGTGCTCTCAGGGGCTGCCTGATCTCCGGGTCCTCCAGGTGAGGAGCGCCAAGCCAGACCCCAGTTGCGCCTCCAGAGCCTGGGGATCGCAAGACATGGCCTCCCGTCTGCTAGGGGAGGAGCCAGACTTGATACCCAAGGCAAACTCAGAGGGAAGCAAATGGATCTTGGAGGCTTGTCCTTGCGCCAGGGGGCGAGGGAGCCTGGCACAGCCGGGCACCGGCACCTCCGCTGGATCCCACGTCAGGGTTTCCCAGGGGACCCGTGTCCAGCCGGAGAAAAGACTGGATTTGGGCAATTGACTAGGGTGATTGGCTGCATTCCTGAGAGCACGACGGAATTCAAGCTGATGTCTTTAAATGTTGTTTTAGAAAAGTCCTTGTTTGTCACACATGCCCATTTCAGGAGAATACACAGAACCTGAGTGTGCGCAGTTAGCGTGGGGCTCACGTAAGGAGCACCTTCCTGCACCCCGAGGAAGAAGTGCTGTCCTTTCCTGCAGCCATCAGATAATCCGTTAATGACAGCAGCTTCTGGCAACTTCCTCTCCCTAATCCCCCGCCGAGCCCCCGAGAACCTATAAGGAATTTCAACAAAGCAGCGTCACTTTCCTCCCAGCTGGTGTGTTGATTTCTTGAGCTTCCGCCCCACTCCCTTTCCTGGGGTAACTTCTCTCCTTCCTCGACTCCCTCTGTCCCGAGCCGGCCACTGTTTTGAGGGAGCCCTGACTTTAAAAGCCGCAGCGAGGTTTCCAGGGCTGGGTGGGGATGGGTTCTCCTCGGCACCCGCACCCGCCACGGGCTCCGGAGCCCCTGCCTGGACACTTGGGGAGAAGCGGCCCGCGGCACCTCCCAGCGCCCACTTGCCAGGCCCAGAAACGCACTGTGTGTGATTCAGCAAAGGTTTCTGAGTCCCGCCCCGCTCCACACGGCCGCCAACCTTCTCCCAGCCTCCGTTGAAGGAACGTACCTAGCCACGGACAGTTGTCTGGACGCAGCGGCGTCTGCTTGTATGAAATATGTGTTTTATATATTCTGCTATTATTTTCACCTTATATTTTATATTGTTGAGAGATCCTTTTTTTTTCTTCCAAGGAGTCTTCTTGTAAAATCACTTATAAGATCCGATTAATAATTATGCGATTACTGGATATGACATTTGGCAACAAGTAGTAAATCATTGACAGTTTGGTGCAGAGCAGAGTGCGTGTTAATAACCTTGTGAAACCGTGTCGCAGATACTAAGCTAACTGTTCTGGTTTGGGGTGAGAACAACACATGCTTTGCAACAGTTGTAGATATCCATTTGCCTAAAATATTTAATTTAAATAAATGTGTTTTTTGTACCATGACCATTGGAGCGTTTGAAATAGTTTTGCAAAAGGCGGTCTCCGTGGCCGGCGCGGTCCTCCGGAGGGTCTTGGCTGCGCGGGCCCAGATGCGTTCCTCGGCGACGGTGTCTTTGAACAGGCCATGTCTTGGGGGTGAGAGACCTGGACACAGCGGCCGTGTGTGATTATTAGCCGGGGAGGAGAGGCCGCTTGTCCCACCGGGGACACCAGCACCTTGGTGCTGGGGGCGGGTGGTCACTGGGCTCTCCGGACAGGAAGTACGTTCTACCCGGGGGCTTGCTGACTTCAGGCCGCCACGTTTTTCCTCCCTTTAAAACAGCCTCGACAAACTCCCAGCCTGCCCTCCTGACCGCGCTGCCCTGCAGGGTTTCACAAGCCGTGGGGGAGTCTGAAAGCTCACCCGGACCTTGTGGGGGAGAGGGCGGGGCAGGGGTGGGGCCAGCAGATGTAACATCTCCTGAGACCTGGGATTAGAATGCCAGCCAAGAGGCGCTGGGGCAGCGGGGATTACTCAGTGCCCGTGCGGGTCACCCACGTCTGGCTTCTCTCTGTGGGCAGCAGTTGGGACTTGTTTGAGTCAAGGGCAGCTTGGGGTTCTCCCAGGCCCTCTGGGCCAAGGAGTGGGTCTTGGGAGGGCCCAGATGGGCAGAGGCTCAGCCCTCAATGTGATCATAATCTGCAGTCATTACTTTAATAGCACTTTATAGGTGTAGGGAGTTTTACAGCCAGTTTTATGGACTGTTTCTCATCCACAGCCCCAGGTGGGGCCTGTCACCCAGCCTCCCCGCTGCACACCAGGGACACTGAGGCCCGGGGCGGGGGGCGGTGGCGGGGCGCTTTCAGCACCCCTCGGATTCATTCCTGGCAGTGCCAGACCGCAGCCTTGCTGCTAGAGGCCCCGAGTGGTGAGGGGGCGCTTGGCCATGGCGAGCAAGGGGTGGCATGGACCCCCGAAGTCACTGCTGCCGGGCCTGCCATCAGCTGCTGGCCATGGCCGTGGCAGGGTCATCACTGGTCAAAGCACCGTCTGGCAGTGCCCAGCGAGGCACAGGCCCTGCCAACGGGCACCTCGGCCTGTTTCATTCCAGGATGTGCTGTGGGGGCGGGCGTGTCCCTCCCCTGTGGGCGGGAAGGCTGGAAGGGGGCAGGCCCTGGTCCCTCCCTCGTCCACTGTGTCTGAGCTCTGCCCAGAGCCTGGGATGTGGAGCTGTGGCTGCCGATTGGGGTACCCAGCTGTCCCCCCAGCCCCAGTGACAAGAGCACTTTCACTTTGCCGGATGAGAATGAACACGTATCTGCGCTCATGAGTTCTTTCTGTGAGATCCTCTGATGCCAGGGAGAGCGGAGGAGGGTTCACTGATGCAGGGCCTGGTGGGGCCCTGGGGATGTGCCCACTCCACCGTTCTTCTCTGCAAACTTTGCACACATGTTTTCCTTTCAGACCCCTCCCCGCCATGGTACAAGCTGCAGGACCCACACCCACTGGCCCCTGTGGCCATCTTCTTTCTAGAAGCCTCTCCAGTCCACGTTCTGCTTCTACCTCGCGGTGTTTCTACCGAGTGGAATGCCTGTGGTCCGAGGAGCTCTCCTTTCCATGCTTCCAAGACCAGGCAGACTGTGCTCCCACCCCCCTGAAGACCCCCACACAGGTCCAGCATGTCCCAGGCCTGCCCAGGACGTCTCTAAACCCCCACCCATCCCCTCAGCTCCTGCAGAGCCCTAGAGGGACTTGCTGACCGCAGGCGGGGCTGGGCCTTGCACCATCCGCAGGGCAGACATGGCAGCAGCCCCATAGCGAATGGCAGAGCAGCACCCCAGAGCCTGGCTGCTCCTGTGAGCCTCAGTACTAAGACCTGACACCCTAATTTCCCAGCCTGTCCCCCTTCAAGCTGAGACCGAAGCCTGTGTGTGAGGTTCTCGGGGCTCCAGGTCGGAAGCGATGCGGCCGCCCACCTGCTGGAGCCCGGGCCGGCGGCTGTGGAGCTGCCCATAGAGCCGAGGGTGTGGTGAGCCTCCGTCCCTGCGCCCAGTCCTCCCCACGCTGTGGATTTCATCCCGCCGAGGGGGGCCTGGAGAAGAGAGGAGGGCGAGGGCGGGAGGGGGGCGGGCGAGCAGAGGAGACGTCCGTCTTGTCACGCGCCGTCCTACGCAGCCTGTCAGCACCTTAATTGTCAGAAGAGACGTTGTCTTCGTAGAAAATAAAATAAAAACCCGTCGCCTGCTGCCCACAACTTGGAGACATTCCCGTGATCATTCCCCGCGTGTCCGTCCAGCCTTCCTCGGCGCGGCCCGCACCCGGCGCCCGCCACACGGACGCAGCTCTCCTTACTAGCACATGAACATCTCACCACGCCTTCTTCTGTAGGAGGTGTTTTCCTCCTAGTGAAAAATCAGCGCGAAAACATAACAGAGGCCCCCTCCGTGGCCTGACAAGGCCGTTTGCCGCCAGCGCACTCCCGTACCCGGCCGCTGCGTCCCGGTGCGGCCGGCGAGGTGGCTGCAGGCGCGGGCTCCCCGGCGGCCCGGCCTCCCCACGTCCTGTGACAGCTTCGCCATGTGCCGCAGCGAGGCCCCGCGGCCGCCCGGCCAGACACTCCTCTCCTTCCTTTCTCCCCAGGGAGCGGCGTGGCTGATGGGGGCCTCGCCGTGGGCCCGTCACAGCTTCTGCCTCCCGCTGCCCATTCTCCTTCCCAAAGAGCCTCCGGGGCCAGCTGGGGCCCAGGCTCCCCGAGGCCTGCTTAGCGGGATTCGCTCGGACCCGCTCCTGGACGGCAGGGCCCTGCGGCCGGGCCTCCGCGAAGACCTCGTGTGCGTTGGCTGCTGGTTCCCATGGACAAACTGGGGGTGTCCCCCGAAAGCCAAGGGGAGTGGCACGTCCTTCTTGGGAGGATTATTCCACCAGCCAGCAGCGAGGGCTTGGCTCCCCAGAGAGCCCCCCAGCCCTGCTGTGGCTGTGTTCCTGGGGTGCACATAGCTCTGGCCTTGGGGGGGGGGCTCTGAACACAGAGAGGGGGCAGTGGCTATGGGGAGGGGGCTGTGGACACGGTGGGGGGCTGTGGACACGGCGCCTCTGGAAGGGACTGGGACGGGGCAGGGTCTGAGCATCCCCATAACCAGATTTTGATGGACTCGGTGACCCCCAGGCCTCTGCTGTCCTCCCAGGAGCAGCTGGGGGTGGCAGGCACCGAGGAACGGTGAAGCCCCCTCTGCCAGCGGGGTGCTGTTGACGGCTTTAAGGGGCCTTAGACAATTCAGATATCCTCGGGCCCTGAGATTCCCTTGAGAAGTCTGGAGCTGAGTGTCCAGCCCTCGTCGTGTCGGGGTTGACTGCGAGGAACGGGGGAGAGTAGCCTGCAGCGTGGCCTTCGGCCGGAGCCTGGAGGATTCTGTCGCGTGCTTTCTCCAGACCGGTTTGAAGGAGGCCGGTGGGGTCATTTCGCCTGGCCCTCCTGGGATGGCCTCTTGGCTGCTCGTGGGAGGTGGGCTTCTCCTTGACGTGAGAATCCTCCAGAAAAGGGAACCCTCTCCCTAAGCTCTGTAAATCCACCCCCATCCTGTCCAGGGGCTCATGCCCCTTCCCTCTGTGTGTGTTGGGGGGTGGCCATTGGCACCCCCTCCCTGCCCCCCACACCACCTCCCTCGGCCCAAAGCTGAGCACCTGCACGGGGGTGAGCGGGGGTGGGGATTTCTCCAGGGCGTGGGCAGGTGACGACCACGTGGGAACCTCTGGAATGTTCTGCATGTGGGCGTGGGGCGTGGACATTCTCGAGGTGCGTGCCACCTCGTCCCCTGTGGGTCCACTACCTGCTCCCTGTCCTCTTGCTGTTGCTTGCCTTTGGTCCCACGCAGGGCTGCGGGGTGGCGGGAGGGACCTTAAAACAAGAGAAATGCTCCCTGGGCAAGGCCCCGCTCGCTTGGCGGGGGTTCTAGGGGGAAGGTGAGCAGGGCCTCCGCGGCCCCCGCTCGTTCCTCTGGTGTCTCCTCACACGTTGGCTCCTCTGTCCAATCCCAGCGAGTCCCGGAACTCTCTTTTCCTTTATTCCCTTTCCTGAGAAGGGCAGCGCTGACTCCCACACCTCAGGGGGTGTGCAGCCCCAGGGAGCAGGTAGCAGCCTCCCCCGGCCAGAGACAGGGGCCAGGGCCTCGTTCTGCTGACCGGCAGCCCGAGGACAGGGGCCTGGCACTTGACTCGAAAGAACGCGGGACTTGGAAGTAGGAGATTCTCAGCTCCATGACCTTGAAAAAAATCACTGAAGGTCAGAGCTGGAAGGAATGGCTGTCAGACCCCAGATTTGATGAAAAAGGAAATGGAGCGGTCAGGGGGCGGCCTGAGAGCCAGCAGCCCAGAGCAGAAGCCAGGAGGGAGGAAGTGGGTGGAGGGCTGCCTGGTGGAGGCACTGTGAGGCCCCACGGGCCGCCGAGGAGGACGGCTAGGAGTCGCCCGAGGGGGACCTGCCGCTCCGTCACTGGACTGGGGGGCTCAGCAGTGGGCAGGGGCGAGGGGCACAGGGCTATGGGGTGATGGGAAGAAGGGGTGCTGGGGATGCAGGTGGGAGGGGACAGGAGCCCTGTGGGTAGCCTTCAGGACGCTGGCCTTGCTGCTGCTGCCCAGGGAGTGAGGAGGAGGGGAAACAGGCCCCAGCATCCCCCTAAGGGGAGCCAGACATGTGGCCTGGGTTCCCGGACACTTCAGGGCTCGTGGTGGCGTGCCAGGGTGGGGGCTGGCACAGAGGTGCCAGGGAGCCCCCCAGACATGTCTGGGTACCCCTTTGTCCTGTGTCCACCATCCCAGCCTGCCCTGACCTGTGTGGCTGCCGGTGACCAGGGCTGACGAGGGGCTGGGGGGCCCGGAGCGTGCCCAGGCCACTGGTTACTCCACACTTTGGCTCCCCAGTGGGCAGCGGGAAGACAGAGAGGAGGGCAAAGGCTGGCGGGAGGGGCAGAGGGGGGCGCAGGGCTGCTGAGTGTTTTCCTGCCCGGGAGCGGCTGTGACCA